ACAGCACAAGGGGTAGGGACAGTCGGTCCTGTTCCCCAGCCACAGAGCGGTGTATCCAGAGGGGAGACAGTCGGTCTCTCCCTCCCACAACCAGGCTCCCACCAGGCTACTTCCGTGGTAGCACTGGCATCAGGGCAGAGTACCGCTGGTCTCTGCCCACTCAGCAACCCACCAAGGCAGCCTAACAGTTGCCCACACAGTCGTGGTGAGGCACCTGGACATGGACAAAGTTCTCCTCTACCCAGGTGTAGTAACCAGTTATTGTGGGTGGGCTGTACTGCTGTTTCTGTTTTGTGGGTGGGTTGCTGGACTAACCAGGGCACTGACCGGCAGGAGGTCAGATACCCTGTTTGTCTAGTTGGTAAAGGGGAGAAGTGTGGCGAAACCAACCTCGCCACTGTGAACTGGAGAAGCCTGGTTGCTCGCCTGCTCCCTTTGGACTATGGCCCTGCAGGTTAAACCGTTTATTTCCCCTGCAGAAAGGCTTATTTGTGTGATCTGAGTGCCATTCATCTAATAATGTGCACTCAGATCCCAGCTATCTGGGGATATGTGAAATGTCTGTGTGTTATGTGTAAATGTGACTTTATGTATTTTAAAGTGTTTTGTGTCTTTTGCAACCATGTGCTTAATGGAGTCTTGTGTCTATCCTGGGAGATAATTGAATTACTCTCCAGGATAGAAGACTCTGAAACTGGTTTGGGCCAGAAAGCCATGCTTCATTTAGTCACAAAGGACTTTCCCTTAACTTTTGAACCCCTGGTCTGATTCGTGCCATTTTTTAATATGTTGTTCCCCTGAATGGATTGATTATGAAAATGTATGTTTTATGTTTGTGACATGTATATTTTAGAAGTTATAAATATTGTGTAAAAACTGTATTCCTCTGCCGGTGATAATGAGATTACCCATTGTGTTCAGTAATCATATCACCTGCAGAGGGGAGGATTTTGTGTGGGAGTGTCTGGGTGTATTGTACGGATTGATTGGTTGTTTTGTAACGCCCTGTGGGCTGTACTATGTTTGTGGATTGGGAATAAAAGAGACTGTATGTGACAGTACAGAGAGTTCCTGTTTTAACCCTCAAAGTGAAGTGTCGTCTCATTATTGGGGAAGGATTTATTGTATGCTGTTCCAGTTTGACTGCTAGGAGAGTAAACCTATTCGTATGGTTCCTATTCAACTGTCTACAGCATTCATATGCTTGAGAGGATTCAAATGCTTCTCCGGTTCGGTGGTTGTGGTGTCTGCTGCAGTGCTTGGAGTCCTCAGGAAGCGCTAGGAGCATCTTTCAACGGAGGTACCCAGTCGGGGTGCCAGGCGATCCGTTACACCTGGGTTTCTTGTTCTGCCAGCAGAACTTTATCAGTGTCGTTTGTATAGATTTAAGGTATTGTGTTGGAATCGGGATTTGCAGTGTGCGAAATAGGTATAAGAGTTTGGGTAGTACCATCATTTTGACTGCAGTACTCCTGCCCACCCATGACAGGTATTTACCTTCCCATTATTTTAACATGTTAACTATCTCCATTTGTAATTTGGTATAATTCAATTTAAATAGTGAGTCGGGTGATTTTCATCAGCTTAATAACCAGAAATGTCAGATAGTCCTGTCTCCAGTCAAAGGGGAATGCCTGTTTAAGTCTACCTGTAGTGGACTCGTCAATGCCTATGCTATTCACTTGGGTTTTTGTGATATTTAGTTTGTAGTATGATTGTGCGCTGTAGGCCCGTATTTCTTTTTGGAGGTTCGGGAGAGAGATGTGAGGTTGGGATAGAGTCAATAGTACGTCATCCACGAATAGGTTTTGTTTATATTCTTTGTCCCCTATTTGTATGCTGTGTATATTAGAGTTTTGTCTGATAGCTTCCGCTAGCGGTTCCAGGGCCAGCACGTATAGGAGAGGGGAAATGGGGCATCCCTGCCTTGTACCGTTCGATATGTTAAACGGGTCCATAAGAAACCCTGATGTCATGACTGACGCGTTGGGATTGCTATACAGAGCTCTAGCAGCTGTCAGAAAATCTTGGGGAAGTCGAGTTTGCACAATACTGCGACTATAAATTGCCAATTCAGACTATCGAACGTTTTTTCTGCGTCCAGGGAAACTAAAAGGCCTTGCCTTTTGTGTCTGTGTATCATGTGTAGAATGTCCACTACTTTCCTGGTATTGTCTGGTCCTTGTCGTCCCTGTATAAAGCCTACCTGGTCATCTGATATGATGGTCGATAATATGGGTTTCAGTCTTGTGGCCAGAATTTTGGCGTACAATTTGGTATCCGAATTTAGGAGTGATGTCGGCCTGAAGTTCTGGCACTGTGTGGGAGGCTTTCCCGGCTTTGGGAGTGTGATTACTGTTGCGGCTAGGAAGTCGGCAGGGAAGGCGTGGTTAAAAGCTAGGGACAATTACGGAGTTAGTACATGTTGGAATTTTGTGCAATACGTGTTGGTGTAGCTGTCTGGGCCTGGGGCTTTCCCTTTTGGGCAGGACCCAAATGCATGTTAGAATTTCGTCGTCTGTAATGGGTGCTGCTAGTACCTGTCGTTGTGACTCTTTTAGTTTTGGTAGAGGGATCTCTGCAAGGTATGCATCGATAACCACTTCCAAGGGGTTGCTCACTTCGTGGGTATCTTTCAGGTTGTACAACTGACTATACTATCCTGCGAATTCCTCGCAGATTTGTTTTGGCAGGCATATTTTTTGGCCCGCTTTATTTGTGATATGTGCAATCCGTGTTTGCATTTGTCTGTCCTTCAGCCTTTTCGCCATGAGTCAACTTGCTTTGTTACCCTGTGCATATGTGTTGGCGTTTAGTTTCTTTAGCATATGTCCAAATTTAGTCAGCTGCAGTGCCCTAATCGTGGTTTGAAGGGTTGTGATTTGTGTCTTTAGGTGTGTGGAGGGTCTGAGTTGGTTGTCCCTATGCAGCTGGTCATGCATCAGAACCCCATCAATTCTTGAGTATGTGTTCTGCATTTAGGAGTGATGAGTGTACTCTTTGTCTCCCGAGTGTTGTGCCCTCCACACATCCCTCAAGCCATATGCTGATATTAGAGTTTGCAGGACCTTACTTTCTTTTATTAGTTTGCGATAGTTCGGAGTTGACTCGGGTCTAGTGGAGGCAAGACATGGGTCGAGTACGTGGTTGAAATCCCCGCACATGATAAGGGTGCCTTTTCTAACCTGGTCAACTTTGGTGAACACTTTGTGTAATAAATTTCTTTGGTAGCTATTGGAGGAGTAGACGTTGGCTATGGTATACTCCATCTCATTAATTACACACTGCCATATAGCGTATCTCCCCCCTGGGTCAGTGATTTGCGTGGAGGAGGTGATTGTAAGGTCTTTACTAAGTAGGATAGATACTCCTTTAGATTTGTGTGGTGAAGTGGCATGTAACTGGTGTGGGTATTGAGTTAGTCCGAAATTCGGGTGGGCGGGATGCGAAAGTATGTCTCCTGTAGACACACCAACTCTGCCTGCACTGTTTTAAGTTCTCTGAGCAAGGCATGTCTCTTATAGGGGATGTTCAGTCCCTGTACATTATAGGAGTATATTTTCATATTACGTTATCCCGGTCATCTGTGCTGTGTGAAGTCCGTGTACCTCCCGGGGGTTGCGTAGGGGGTGACATATGGGCTCAGTTTTGTCCGCCCTGTGGGCAGCAGGCGGGTGTTGGGTGCATGTTGGAGGCAGTGATTGCTCCCTGTTTGTTATTTGATGCGGGGTGTGGAATGTTTCACGAGCAAGCATATACACAGAGATGTACACCGTCACGCCCATTTGGGCAAGTAAACAAAGAAATACTAAAAACATAACTTAAAACTTAAAATGAAACTGTGAGACCGTAATGTCCTCCTAATCTCCTAACTGTTGGTCTCTGGTCTGCTAGCTGGTATCGCTAGCTTTAAGCAAGGTCACCCAATATGTCGCGACCCTCCTGTCTGTGACCCTGAAATTTCCCGCTTGTTGTCCAGTTTTTCGTGTCTTCCCTTGAGGCTTCCTAAATCCCGATTATTTTATTATTTTTGTTGTGTGTGGTTTTTTTTTATCCGTTACCCCTTGGGCATGTGGCCTTCTAAGCCCTCCAAGGGGGAATCCTCACCCCTGGCTTTTGGCTTCTGAGGCCCGTGCCACGGGGAGTCAAATGTAAACTGGGGAATGCTATAGGGAAATGATTGAACCTGGATGTATTGAGGGGATGTGGGGTGTGTTGCCTCTTTCTATTGTCCGCCCTAGTGCTATGCTATAAAACCTGTCCAGACTCTGGAAATCTGACTGAATATGACCTCTGTAAGCAATGTATTACATATTTTACCCAGTGCCCGTCGTTGCTTCTGTGTTTCCAGTGTCTCCCTGGTTTGGGTTGGCAGTCCTTAGGGTAACAAAGTTCTTCCGTGTGCCGCCATTAAGGTTCTATTACCTTCACCAAATGCAAAGTCCTGGTCACTGCCCTTGTCAATGCCACCTCCAGGATGTCTGGCAAAGGTTAGTAATTGACTGACTGGTTAGTCCATAGTCTTTGTTGATTTCGGCCATCGGATGATTCCCCAGTCCTGTCGCACTTCTGTGAGTCTTTTGTTGTTTCCTCCCGGTGTTGCGGTGGCAATGCCCCATTCGCCAAGTAGTCTGGTGTCCTCTGCGATATCCGCTACAGCGTGGAGTTTGCCAGCGTGTGAGATCAGGAGTTTGGTCGGGAAGCCCCATTGCTATGGGATCTTCCTTGAGGGCTGGATGTCTGGAGCTAGTGCCTGGAAGAGACCCGTCAGGAAGGCTGTAAGGTCTGATGCCGGGATCTCCTCCGGGATTCCCCTGAGCCGCAGATTTTGCCTCCTGGACCTATCCTCAAGGTCCATTGCTTTCAGTTCCTGCTTATCTAGCCTGGTCTCCATCTCCTCTACCTTATCTGCAAAGCTGTTGTGCGCCTCTGTGATTTCCTGCATTTTTGTTTCAATCTGCGCAGTGCTGTTTCCCAGCTCCAGCATGTCTCTCCGTAACTCTGAGATAGCTGTTTGCACAGTGGAGTGTATCTTGGCTGCCATGTCGACCAACATTCGTTGGAAAATGTCTCCCTGTATGTGCATGTTCTCATGTGGGGATTGGGGCCTAGACCCTTCCCTGTCGTCTCCACTGCCATCGCCATCTTGGCTCTGCACCGTTGCTGGTCTGGCGCCAGTCAGTTTGGCCGTGAAAAAGGAATGCTTATCCTTGGCATCGGCCGTTTTCCTTGACCCCCTCTGAGACATAGTGGGTTCCACGATAGTGAGGCACTTTGTGGGGCGATTTAGCCGCTTTATTTACCGCTTTTGTGGCAGTTGATGGAGGAGCTCAGACCCTATGCGACCATGCCGTTCGAGCGCAGGCTTTGCCCCCAGAAATTTCCTTTTAAAAACAATACGTATCGCCTCTTATTACCAAAACGTAGTGTAAGTGTTCAAGATCGATCTATCTATCTATTTTGTATGCGGGCAGGGTCGCCATCAGGGCATGACAACCGCAACGGTTGTCATGGGCCCGGCGGTCCTGGGGGGCCCGGACTGCTAAGGTCGTCCGGGCCCCACATTCAGTGGGTACATACCGGGTCGCAGGGGGCCCTGCGACCCCGGTATGTACCCACAGGGCCAGCCTCTTCTCCTGGGGGCCCAGCAGCCGGTCACCTCAGGGCCCCCAGAGGCTGGCCCTGACAGCCGGCCGGCGCGCGAGGGAGCACTCTCCTCTGAGTGCTTCCTCTTCAGCTCCCTCGCGCACCGTACTGATGCCGGAGCCGGAAGATGACGTCATCTTCCGGCTCCGGCATCAGTACGGTGCGCGAGGGAGCTGAAGAGGAAGCCCACTGAGAGTGCTCCCTCGCGCGCCGGCCCGCCCGCAGTCCGCCGTCCGCCGTCGGGAGGGGGTAGGAGGAATTAAATTTGAGGGAGGGGGTGGGAAGGAATGAAATGGGAGGTGGGGCAAGAAATGGAATTTGAGAGAGGGGGGGAGTAGCAATGAAATGGGAGGGGGGAGGGAGAAATTAAATGGGAGGGGGGGGACTTAAATGGGAGGGGGGGAATGAAATTTATGGGGGAGGGAGGAATTAAATGGGAGGTGGGGAAATGAAATTTATGGGAGGGGGGGACAGGAATGAAATTCGAGGGGGAGGGGGGACAGGAATTAAATTTAAGGGGAGGGGGGACAGGAATGAAATTTGAGGGAGGGAGAGGAATTAAATTTGAGGGAGGGAGAGAGGAAGGAAATTTGAGGGAGGGAGAGAGGAAGGAAATTTGAGACGGGGAGAGGAAGAAAATTTGAGGGACGGGGGGAGGAAAACTTAAGAGGGGCGAGGGAGAGGAAGGGAGGTGGAGGGAGGGAGGGAAGGGGAGGGTGGAGGGAGGAAATGAGAGGGAGGGAGGGGGAGAAGAAGGAAATTGGAGGGAGAGGGGGGGAGAAGGAAATTGACGGGGGGAGGGGGAGAGATTGACATCCATCACACACAATGCACCCCTTGCACACAGAAAAACACACAATGCATTACACACAGACACACGTACACAAGCAATGCATCCCTTACACACAACAACACACAATGCACCCCTTACACACACTCAATGCATCCCTTACAGACGCACACACTGCATCCCATACATACACAAACTCATCTTGCAGCCCTTACACATACAAACACAGATTCACACAATGCATTCCTTACACACATCAGGACATCCCCACACACACACTCCACCCCCTGTGAACAAACTCATTGATGGAACATGAAGGTGGACCCTGGGACCCAGTCCTTGAGCTGTGTAAAGGGCCCTCAAAAAAATGGAGCTGCTTTCCGGTCTCCCAGAACATTGATCTTTGTGACCACAGTTACAAACCGCCTCCAGAGAGCCTGTTCTTCACCAGACCAGTGGAGCTAGACGGCAGCTAGAGCCCATCATCATCCTCATCTGGTTGTAAGTAGGCAATCTAGTATATTATTCGTGGCACCTAATCTCTAATTTACCTCACATTAAAAGGGACACTATAGTCCCCAGACAATTGCAGCTTAATGTAGTGGTTCACAATTGTAGCCATAATCACAGGCCTTTTAATGTCATGGCTTATGCGGCTTTTTGGCACGGTGTTAGTGTATGGCAGATCATATGGGTGGGGGCATTGTGATGTCCCATTGTGATGGAGGATGGGGGCAGCACTGGGCGGACTGGGGGCAGGGGGCTTTAGACCTTGAAGGAAAGCTGTGTGAGGGGCCCCAACATTTCTGATGGCAGCCCTGCCTCTAGGACTGGTTCTGGTTGGCGCTGTTCATCGGGCACTCGGGTCGCTTGTGCCCTAGCTGCTTGCACAGGTAGCACCGAATGGGTTGAGTGTACTCTCGTGAATTAAACCGAGGTGGCTGTTGGTACAGGGCAGATGGAGGAGGTGCTGATGGGCGATTCATGGGAGGCTGATATAGGTTGGCTGCTGTTAGTGCTGCTGGCCTGTACTCCACTCTGGCGGGAGCCTTGCTGATGAGACTGTCCAGTTTGCGGGCGTTGGTATACTCATCCGCCAGGCGAGCTGCTTCGTGTAGAGTGGAGTGTTTACGGTCCCTTACCCACTCTCTGACCCCTGCTGGTAATTTATCAAAACAATGTTCCAAAAGAAACATCTGCAGCACCTCTTCTCCGGACACAGCCTGGCACCCAGCCATCCAGTGGGCGGCTGTGCGATGCACCTTACATGCCCATTCCACGTATGAGTCCCCAGAGGTCTTGACAGTGTCTCGGAACCTCCTCCGGTACGCCTCAGGTGTAACGGCATACCGGGAGAGTAAAGCTTCCCTGACGGCCACATAATCCCCAATCTCCTCATCAGGAATGGCCCAAAAAGCCTCGCTGGCCCGGCCGGATAACTTGCCGGACAATATAGTAACCCAGTCTTCCAGGGGTACCTTGTGCAGGGCACATTGCCGCTCAAAATCAGCAAGGTACCCATCAATCTCTCCTTCTGTCTCACTGAAGGCTTTAAACGCAGTAAACGGCACCTTCTTTCTTTCCCCCAGGTTTGCTGTGACTGGGGCTGCTGCAGCACCGCTTTGGCATAGCAGGTTGGCCTCCACAGTGGCTATGACCTGGGTGATGATCTCTGTAGTTGGGTTGGGACCATAATGGGCCAGCCTGATTCTTACCGCCCGGTCAAAGCTTGCCTCCTCGGGGGTTCTGTCAGCTGTGCTGGGTCCATTGGTTCCCTCTGCCGCTGTTACTCCATCCATTTCCAGCAATAGTGCAATAATATCCCTCTTCCTGAGGTTACTGGCTTGTCCGCCTCTTTGCTCTAATAAATCCTTTAGGGTAGCTCTTCTCAGGTTCTGGTATTGTAATTCCATTTAATCCTGGTTGTAGTGGTCTCTTTGGGCGCTGAGGATCATCCCGTCGCTTGCCACCAGTTGTTACGGTACCTCCAGTAATAAATGTGCAAACCGCCGTTTAGTTAATGCTCCCCGTTCGCAATAATGTAGTCTGGTAGCGTATGCAGTATAATCATGCGAACCGCCAGCTAGGGAACACTCCAAACTCCCGAACGGTACCTGTATGGCTCTTTCCCTTCACGAACTCCAAATCCACAAACTGACAATATTAGCCGAACGCCAATATCTTCCAAGCGGCAAATAATCCAAATAAACAGTCTCTAGTCGCCGGTAATAAAATCCCCCCCCAATAACGAGACTGTAACGGAGCTCCTTGTGCCGTTGACGGATGCTCCTAGCGCTTCCTGAGGACTGCAAGCACTGCAGCAGACACAACAACCAACGCAGACTCCGCAACCGCCGTATCTTGACTGGAGTCTCGCCGTCTTCCTTCCACCCTGGATCAGCTTCTGTCCTCCAGGACTGTGTGGGAAAGAACTCTTCCTTCCACTCTGTATGAACCTCCAGCATCCAGGACTGTGTGGTGAAGACCCCTCCTCCAATGAGAGCGTGTCAGGAACAAGCTCTTAAAAGAGCTAAGTGACTCAAGCTCAGGGGAGCATGCAGAGCATAGCAATCCCCAGTGTGATGATAACAGCTCCCTCCAATAACGAGACAAGGCTACGTTTAGAGTGATCAAGAAGAACTGTCAAAACCTTTATTTCCCTTGGGACCAGCCAGTAGAGTCACCACAATAACATTGTTGTGAAACCTCAATAAAATCACAAACAGTCAAACCATATCAAGCAACACACAGTGACTTATCACAACACAATGGCACATTTTTAAAGGGGTGGGGGGAGACAATATTTAACAGTAAATATCTCACCTGCCTGCAGAATTAACAATATGCAAATCTACCCGAATATGCAAATAAACCAGTCTTGCAATTCAGGTAGTGCATATTGCTGTTGCTACCAACAGAGGGCACTAGACAAGCTCCATAGCCAAACCCACCTAGTTGGTAGCAAACCTCAACAATACTAGAGAGCAGGCAATACAATACACAGTACACACACACACA